CCCCCCGCCGTCGGCGGCGCACACTGAGCCGAAGACCTCGTAGGCGGGTCGCGGCGGGATGATGCCGTTGGCGGCTGCCAGCGCCAGGCCCTCGGCAGTGCCGTAGAGCAGCTGTAGCTCGCGTGCCTCGTTCTCTTCCTGCGCCTGTTGCCTGCGCAGCGCCACCTGCGCGGCCATGACGCGCTGGCGCTCGGCGATGAGCGTGCACTTGGCGCATAGGCAGTCCTTCCAGCGGCAGTAGCGCTTGTGGCCCTTAAGCGCAGAAACCACGCCGTGGTTGCGGCAGCGCGCACACTTGGGGGTCCGCGGGTACTTCTCCGCAGCCCTCAACAACAGCGGCGGCGCCCGTAGCAAGCCGCCGGCCACGCTCACCGGTAGAGAAGCGGCCGCCGCCGCCGCCGCTGCCACCGATGCCACCGAAGCCACGGGGGGCCCCGTCGCTGTCGCGGCCGCCGTCGCGGCACCAGGTACGCTGGGCAGCTCGGAGCGCAGCTCCATGGCGGGACCTGGCGTGGAAGACCGTGGGATGGGGGGAGAAACTTGCGGTGAGGAGCGCACAGTGCGCTAAGCTAAAGCTCACCCTGCAGGAATCCAGGTTTAGAGAGGGACATTTCGAAGGCGAAAGTTTGGCTAGCGGTTGCCAAATTGCTGGGAGGAGGTGCCTTTGGAACCCTCTTGTAAGGCCCAGCTCCCCCGCCCCACTCCCACCGAGGCTCTTCTTCTTATGACTGATTTATGCACTGGGTGTAAGATTTCATTTGAATCAGTGGTTCCTCTGGAAAAAATAAAAAGACATAAAGTGTGAAAGTCACTGGTTCAGATGAGTGTAACGAGAGTTTGGAAAGAATATTATTCCCAAAAGTTTAGCTTAACTGGGGTGAGACGGGTAGAGAAGAATCTTTGTTTGATGGGACTCGGATTAGAGAGAAAATTTTGACTCAACATTTAGACTGAGCAAAATAGGAAAACCTGAGGCGAAACGTTGAGTTTTGTAAGAGTGAAGAGGAGACAGATATCACGGCACAGAGTTCAGCTGGTTGGGCTGGTGGGTTTTTTACTGGGGGGAACAGGAGAGTTTGAAAGAAAAATCGAGAACAGGAAACGAAAAACTCTAGGAAGTGGAGTGAGGGCCGGGAAACAAACAACTTAGGGGCAAAGTGAGGCCGAGGGGCCCAGGGACGCGTAGAAATGTGGGCTCCAAGTTCCAAGGTGCGGGCCTCTGGAGAGTAAAAGAAAATGGTTGTGGAGTTTTTAGGAGACCTGGGGAAGAGGATACAAGAGAAAATTCACTGGAAGAAACTTTCTTTGGATGGGCAAGCCTAGGCCAAAGATTAGCTTGAGGAGCAAGGGAAACAGCGAGAAACAGCTGATACGGAGGCCTGGGACCCATGGTCCACGAGGGAGAGAGGGGTGTGAGTAAAAAAACCCACAGGCATAGGCTGGGAGTGTGGATGGGGTAAACCTGTGACACATTTTTTAGCCTTGTAGTCTAAAGTAGTCGGGGAGGGAAAAGTATCTTGGCAAAAGTTAGGGATTGGAGGAGGGAAAGCCGTTTCCCTGACCAACTCACGCAGCCCTCCCCTCCCCTCCCAGTTATGGATCCAGTCGTCAGACACGCCCTCCCCATCCTGAGGCCCCGCGGACCCCGCTCCGGAGCAGATTCCAGAATTGTGGTCTCGGAGTTGGGTTCCAGGGACCTGAATGGCCCTGCAGGCAGCACCGAGGCGTGAGAGTCGTTTCGGGAATTGGGTCTGAGAGAACACAGGAGTTGCCCTCTGCGCGGTGGCCTCAGGAGGCCCAAGCAGGCCCAACTCTGAGCTTCTGCCGCGTCCTCCTCTGGGTCCCAGTTCCCCGCCAGAGCCTGGGACTGAATCCTGGTGTTTCTGCCCAGGAATCCTGGATCCCGTTCCCATACGCACTGCCTCTTCCCTCGGGCCTCTTAGGCCGCACAATCCCTAAGGCCAGCGTGGCCCGGGCTTCATTAACAGAGGCCAGAGGTGGAAGGCCGGGCCGCCTCCCCTGCCCTCCCTGCGTCCCTCAACTACCTGCCTTGGGCTTGGGGATCCTCCTCCGCTGGCGCTGCACGCACCTCCCAGCTCTGCTCGCGACGCTGGCGCTCTTGGCCTCTTCCCCTTGCCCCCGGCCCCTTATCTGACCACGTCACCCTCCTTCAGTCACCATGTCCGAACTTCCGGACCCCTCAGAACGCTGCACAGTCCAACCCTTCCGTCGGAAATCGGAGCCCGGGGACTGTTTAGGGATCCGCTGGCTGGAACCTGCGACCCGGCCCTCGTCGCGCCGTGTCCCCTCGCGGAGCGTGCCGGACGCAGTGCACAGCCGGGCCCCAGTTGCCCGGCGCTGCCAGACTCTCAATGAGTAGCTCGCCCGCTCTATTGTTGCTCCTTAGGGCTCCATTAGACAGAATTGGACAACAATGTGGCGCCTGCCATTGGCCAGGGGAGGCAGACGGCGCTCTGATTGGCCGGGCCCGCGCCCGGGGAGCCCCGCATTCTACAGTGTCCGAAAGATTCGAAACTCCAAAAGCTCCTCTGAGTGCCTCCGGGAGGGGAGGGGGCGCGCCAGGGAAGGAGTGAAAAAAGTGGGCAAGGAGGAGCGTTGAAAATACCGTGACAAGTAGTTTCCGTGTGCCCGAGAGCGTGTGAATTGCGCCTAATTACCGTGTCCGGTGCGCCTCTACGTAGACGTGTGTAACCCCTCGGTTTCTGGGGCGCGGGCCCCTCTGAGCCGCTCTCACTGGCCGGAGCGCTTGGCAAGGCCGATCTTCCCAAGTAGCCCAGGAGGCCGGGGGGCGGGATGGGGACAGGTGACAATTCAATTACTACGGTCGGGTTGGGGGTGGAACGGGGGCGCGGAGGTGGAGAAGGGAGGGTGCTCATGGCATAAATGCCAGGACGATTTTTTCTGCCTCCATCCGGCTCTGTTTCAGCATGCTGCCAAGTCCAGAGCGTTTGGGGTAGTTGAGACTGGTTTTTCCCCTGCCGTCTTTAAAACGCAGGTCCTTTATTTTTAAAGTTCTGATACGATAGGCATCATGGAGGGTAAGTGTGATCTGAGGATTCTCGTTTTCAAAAAGTATCCGGGAGAGGAGAAATGAGATTGCGCTTTCTGTAGGCGCCCGCCCTAGCTGTGCGCTCTGAGCCTTTCCTCTCCCTGCCCCCCTTACCCCGTCCTTCTGCCTCATTTTCCTCTCATTTCCTCACTTCTGCAGCATCTAGATTTCTTTTCCATGGTGGTGGGATTTTTTTTTGTCACTGTTTTAAGGTAACGAACAGGTTGATTTTATTTTTTAAACGAAAGTAAAAAGTGACCTGTTTCCCCCAGATCCTCTTGGATTCAGGACGCACGTCAGTCAGTCTGTCCTTCTGGTCCAGAGACAAGGTCGCCGCGGTCCCCAGGAGTAGTATTAACTTTCGCCTTACTCTCCTGTCCTGACGTCACGGCCCTGAGGAACAGCTCTGTCCGCAGAGGAGGTAACAGGTTTCGGATTTTGTTTCCCTTTTGAATGGGAACATCTGGAATTAATGCCGCGATCCTCGGGCGGGATCGCCTCGTGTTTCTCTGGCTGTGATTCTGTGCCTTTTCTTTCTGTCTTTCCCTTGTTCTAAAGTTCTGTCATTTCCATTTTTTTCTACTTTTCTCTCTCTCCTTCAGAGTAAAGAAATTTCGTTTAATTCATACGATAAATGAATTTTTCTGTCGTTCTCCCTCCACTCCCGACCAAGCGTTTCCGCGTTGCTCTTTCGAACTTTCAGGGCCACCGGGCTCTGGCCGAGCCGTCTGGGGCACGAACTGGCGACGCACTGAGCAGGCAGACTCCGACGGGGGCCTCAGGACACAGCCCCTTCCACCTGGCAAGACTGCTGCTGCCAGCCCAGCGGCCTCTGACGCCAGGGGGTGGGGATTGGGGTAGGAAGGCGAGACCAGCGGGGCCCCATCGGACTCTGCGGAACCTCACGCGGGTTCCTCCGGGAAGCCAACCTGAGGACCGGGCGGGACATGGGGGTGGGGCGGTTGGTGTGCTGAAGAGCCAGGCAGATTGCTTCCGGAAAGGTGACCAGGCCGGCGCGCAAAGTGCTCCGACAGTCTGTGATAGTTACAGAAACCGGACTGTTCGCTCCTAACAAATTCTACTCGCTGGATCCCGAGAATGTGTTTAGAAGAGAAAAGGGGGTCGGCTCCTGTTGAGTCTCCCGCGTGGAGTGAGGTTAAGGGAATGAATCTGGGGTAATATGTCCTGCAGGAGCATAGAACCCAGACCCCAACTTCCAATACCTTGAGGTCAAGGAAGTCTGTGAACTAACCGCGCCCTGGCAGGTGATGAATAGAGGAGGCAGGGCAGGATCTGGCGCTGGGCCGCCAGGCGCCTCCTCCCAGAGCTACCTTGGATAAAGTTTTCCAGAAATTATTTTAAATCCCAAGCGAAATGAACTATAGAAATCCTCCCAGATTCGGGGGGGGGGAGGGCGGTAGCCCAAACACCCTTCTTCGCACTTGAGGCCAGAGCACTGTGAGATTCCCCGACTCTGGTCCTGGAGCTCCAGCAGCACCCGAGGGTCAAGACACAGGACTTGGGATCCCTGCGCGCTTTCCCTCGGATGTATGAGAAACTTGTTTTCTAAGGAGGGGTAGAGGACATATCCTGGAACCCAGCCTAACAAGAGGGAATCTGCCTACCCTTAAAGCAGTTGCCTGCCTCCTCACATTCACAGCCCAACAGGTCTGGGACTCACAACCTTTCTGATGCCCCCGAGGTTAGGGTGCTCCTGTGAGTGAATGTGTCATGGAAAGAAACAGAGTAACCGTCTTGGGTCGAGGTCACTGCACTCACACCTTCAAAGGCCACTAGGGGCTAGTCCTGATTTGGACTGAGCTCGTGGATGGGAGCAGACAGCAAGGGGGTGGCGGGGCTGAGCCTTTAGAGGAGGGGAGAGCATGCCAATATTGAGGCAGCAGGGTGTGCTTCACACCTGAACACACAACCTGCACATGTGACCTCATTATGCACAGATCCTGGACACACCCTCTCACCTGCCTGCAGTCCACCCACGGGGTGAACGCATCTCTGAAGCTCCCCTCCCAACCAAGAGGACCCCTTCTGAAAGTTTGATGGACTTCACAGAACTCTCATAAGCATGTCCTCATTCTGGGACATTCACTCGGTGTGTGCCTCTCACCCAGACATCTACAGACTCCCACTTCGGGAACTGAACATAAGTTCATGCAAGTGCGTCCCCGCTCGTCCACGGACCTAACCCTACTTCAGGGCCCTGCAGACGGCTGGACCCTGGGCAGAGAAAGCCAGACTTCTGGGAGAAATAGGGTGGCTGAGGGTAGAAAGCCCATCTTTACACAATCACACACATATACACTCACCACGTACGCATGTCCTTTTTAGCTCAAACTCATTTGCTGATGCTTCTGCTGTGCCAGAGTATGGGGGTCCCGAGTGAGCTCTCTGAGCCACGAAAATCCCCCTCCTTCCTGTCTGAGACTGGCCCCAACTCCTGACCCTGCCCAGGTAGTGGTGGGTTCCAAAGGGATGGCTCTGAAGGAGACCCAGGGTGAGGCCGGGGTTGGGGGTTGAGGGCAGGGAGGGGGCTGAAGGCGTGGCGCGGTGGCGCTGAGTAGGAGCTGGGCCGGGGGCGCTGATGGGGCACCCGGGAGGCATTGACTTTTGCGCTGTTTGCCCGCGGCCTCGGAGCAAGCAGACGCCATCTGTTTGCCGGCTGCGGCGATTCCCGTTTAATTACCCTCCCGGCAGCCTAATAGAGATGATATTAAACTAAATCTTTCTGACATTAAAAGTAATTATCCCCAAACCAGTGGCTCCGGGATAGAATCGCCCCTCCCGTCCCTGCCCCTCCACTGGCCGCGCCAGATTCCGTTAGTTTGGCTGAAAATCTTTACCGGGAAGGGGGCGCGGAGAAAAGGGGTAAGGTGCCAGGAGTCTACCTAGGCCGCCCCATGCACGCTGCTTCGGCACAATCACAGACTGTCTTGTATGCACGACACTAGTGGATACACACACACCTGTACACACACAGACACACATTTTCCTCTGGATTAACTCTGGAGCCTCATTAATTAAGACTCTCAGTCGTGTGAACCCTCAGATAGGGAGAAGAGCAGCCTGGTTTGCTGTCCCTGTCTCCAGGCCGCTAAAATGGCTTCCGCGAGGTCAAAGCAACGGATCTGTCCTAGGGCAGGGCCAGGGACCCAGGCGCAACTTTGCAACCAGAAAGACCCTCTGCCACCGTGAGTCTTGACTTCTCAGGCGCTCTTCCTGTGAGGGGCCCTGCGTCTCCCGCTTCCTTCAGTGTCTTACTTAAGTCCACCACCTCTGCAAGGCAAGTCCTGTTATCCCACTTTACAAGTGAGAAAACGGACTCAGAGAGGTGAGGTGATTTGTCTCACATCTTACAACCAGTATGGGCCAGAGTAGGTAGAATTCGAACCCAGGAGTACTGGGGAAGGCCCCTGCTCAAGGCCCGAGTTCTGCTCGGTTCCAGGCCTCAGCTGGGCACGGCGGACGGATGTCTGGCCTGAGGCCCGTCTCCGTCGCGTGCGCCTGCAGGACCAGCCTTTTCCCGGGCTTTGGCCACCCTCGGCTCCAACGGAAGGAGTGGACGGGGAAGCCAGTTGTGGGCGGGGAAGCGAGGGCAGCCACCGGAACCCCAACGCAGAGCCCCAGCGGCAGCCCTTCTTTGGATCAAGCCCCGGTGTCTACAGGGAGCGCGCAGGGGAGGCGGCCGCCCAGTGTCGTCAGGCTTCCTGTCTCCACGTCCTTCTGACTGAGAGCGTCTGAGCCTGGGACAAACGCGCGGAGCGGTGGCGTGCATCGCCCAACTACTTGTTTCTGTTTTTGAGCGCGTACTGTGTCCCACCACTCTGCTAAACGCTTGGTGTGTGCCGTCTTGCTCGTACGCAGTCCTTGGGGGAGGTGTGACGTTCTGCGTGTCAGAGGCGAGTTTGCCGAAGTTCCAAGGTTCAGCGAGGCGACGTAACTGGCCCGAAGTTACAAAGCTGCTGAACCTGGAAGAAGACAGGAACCCAGATCCGACTCCCACTTTCAGGCTTTTTGTTTTGTTTTGTTTTTTTCTCACCTTCAGTTCTGGGCGGGTAGGATCAGTACTAGAGGCTTTCAGTCGGTTTGATTCCATTGAACTCATTTATTCACCGAAACACGAGAGAACTGGTCATTCATTCATACCTTCATTTAATTAATATTGAGCACCTAGAATGTGCCAGGCCCTGAGGACTGGCGATAAATCAACCGTGATGGGCCCTTAAAGAGCCCATGGGCCAACTGTGGACACAGTCACCTACCAGTAACCTCACAGTGAGAACAGGGCTGAGGTGGGAGTGAGGAAAGGAAGGTCAAGAAAGACTTTCTGAGGAAAGGGACCCCGGAAGCAGGACGTTAGGTTTCCCAAAAGTATATCTGGAATATATACTTTTCTGTGTACCCACATTTACAAAAATATACTTTTTGTTTCCTTGCTTTTTTATTTACAATATGGTAAGGATTTTTCATATTAATCAATATATCTATACAATCTTTTAAAATAATTGCTTAATATTTCACTGTATGGATATACCTTA